GGAAATTTGTGGGCTTGTTTGTACTTAACTTGTGTACTCAAGTTACCTGCAAAACTTGCTGAGGCTGATGATCTTGAATTGCGACTTCAGCGGCCCAGTTAAACAGTCGTTTCCTGAAGAGTGCAGTCACACAACGCAACGAGCTAACTCCAGAAACCTGACTACGAAATCAATTGCCGCTGCAAGCATGTGTCTAGTCCACTGGAACTCGTAACTCCCATACCGCAGCAGGATGCTCAGGCGCTCATCAAAACTCTTCTCCTTCACATCAAATAGCACGTTACAATCAGTTGAACCCCCTCGAGCGATGACGAACAGGGTGTCCTGCGGCGCACACATCTTCTCAGGAACTCAGAATATGCGCGCACAGGCAATTTTGGCGAGGTCCGGTCGACGGTTCGCACCATCAGTGCCCCAGCATATGACCATTAGTTTGCACGGCTGCAATGTTTAAGGCTAAAATACTTGAAATTATGTGAGAACAAAATTCTACAGAGGCCCACGTACCATTGCCGAGACCACGTGCATAACACCCCGCATTTGCGAAGAATATGCTATGAGACGCAAGTCAGGGTAGCACAGGTGAATTGTTAGTGTTTCGTGTTTCTGAGAGGTAACATCAACGCAGAAGGCGTGCTTATGAGAGCCTCAATATGCTAAAAGCTCTATGGGCACAAAGTACTCCTGATTCGATGCCCTATCAATATTGCTGCAAACTGAAGACTATACATTTACAACACATACAGCCAACACTCACAGCATTTTTTGACAACAATGGAAAAGGTTCGGTCGAGCCTTCGGACGAGCCCGCGTTGGTCAGTTCGCCGCCGGCAGGAGCTTGTTCTGTTGTGACGGAGACTATATAGGACCTGTGGGTGGCCAAGATGTGGCAGCGTCCTTCCGCTGGAAGTGCCCACAAGTTACCTGGGAACATTCTTGCGCGCCAACAAAAGCCACGATTCGGCGCGTTCGCCCCAACAACGTGCAGACTGCTTTATTTTCGGCAGCAATATCTCTCAACATTGTGCAGGCAATGGTTGTGCGCGTGAGGAATCGGCTGGAAGTGCGCTGCTTACCCTGATCTGGATCGACGCAAAAGATCCCCTCGTCATGATGCACAACAAACGTGCCGAGAGAAGGCAGTACGCTTACAACTAAACGAGACGCAGCCGGAACAATGTCTGTGTGCGAGACCTACACAGTAGCACGAGAAAACTCGCAAGCATGAAAAGCAGGTGAGAGTTAGCCATTTGTTTCGGCCACAGTGCCAACAAAGTGCACCAGTATGATCACGAACTGGAAAAAGTCGGTGCGGCCAACTCAGAGCAATCTCTCTCAGAGAGTATCAACACATGCACAGGTTCCGACGCGGATTTCCTGGAAGCAGTCGTAGCCAACCTTCGGCTCCCCTCGCAGAGGTATGGAGTAGCATTTTATTGAAGTGGTGTAACAGACGAGCATGTAGTGAACTTTTGCATCCGCTGGCGAAGCCAAGAAACGAACGCTCGTGACAGTCTCGTCGTTTTCTCTGAAATACCATAGCTCATAGTTTGATGTACACACAGCATTATATCGGAAAGCAGACGTCGCAGAACACGATGAAAGCGCAAATGCTAATGAATGCGCCATATATACTTTGGCTTCACCACTCCAAAGCTCCTCAGTTCGCGTGGATAGTAGCCTGTTATTCCTCACTTCATTAGTCGCAGTCGACACGTTTTCTCTCTGAGGAGATTGCCGCGGAAAAGACAGATGCCCGCACCTTCCGTGCCAACCTGTAGCGTATAACGCTCAAAATTCACTGCTACAAAATCAGCAACATTTTGAAAAGCAACCCATATGCCATGAAATTTCATTGATAATAGACTGGGACCACACTAGCACAGGCGAGACATTCGGGCCTGCTGCAACTGCTTTCTCCTTCCACAACCTGCTTTGCTCCTGGCTTACGGCCAGCATTGTAAAATTCTGGTTGATATCTGAGCACAGCAAGACCTGCTCGGGAATCTTGGAGAAAAGCCCCGCCTCACGCAGTAACACAGGATTACCCCTGCCGTCTACCTGGGTGGTGCTGTAGCATTTGTACTTCAAGATTCCTTGGCGAGTCCGTACGTCTTCAGCGTCTCCTGAACCCTCCAATGGAGCGCCTGTGCTACCTGGCTTATCAGTAGGGGCATCTCGCCTGTTTATGCATCGGAGAAAGTGACACCAGCCCCAGCGTGTTAGATGTAGCTGTAACATTAAACCCAAGACGCCCATTGTCTACTCCGGGGATACCAGCTCACACCCACCCGATACATACAATGCAGCTCGCCTGCAGTGCCGCATGCATCGCAACGAAACAGATGTCGAAGCTCTTCCGAGACTTCAGCTGGAAGTTTAGGTCTAGCGTGTGCAAGACGCCTGTGTCATCCCCCATCCATAGGCAATCATCCGTTCCCGCAGTACACACTATGTTGGAAGACGGTAAGGGGGACATACGAGAGGGCCCTGCAACATACGGCCACAACACGTTGCAACTCGCGGTATTACTCATTAAAGTAAAGGGCTGGCTACAAGATTCTTATCCGCTGTGGCCGCTTTTTCCCCCTGGGTGGCCGAAGGAACGCGAAGCCCTAACCACCACTGGCATGTAATATGGTTGCCAATCCGCAGCGGGATACCTGCCGGTGCGCCCTGTTGCTGCACCAGAGCAGGAGGGAGCAAATCGGTGGTCGTAGCGTATCCTTGGCCACTGGAAATGGCCGATCCATTGCATGTGGAAGGAGCGAAACGGGCCTTCTCGACGATGCTTCTATCGAAAAAGCTGAGGCGCCTCAGTTGCTGCATTGTTGCTTTTCGCCGACAGTTGGCGTGGTCCTCTGGGAACCTGAGATCAGTTGCAGCAGCTTCTACATGACTCTACCGCGGGTGTGAGCAATGTGTATACTGTAACTCTCACTAGAACACGTCAAATACGTCAGAGTCGGGAATTCTTTAGATAAACAGAGCCGCACTTGCTATTGCTTCATCGCGCTGTCCAGACAGTCTTCTGCCAGCCCCAGCATGTGATAACGCCTGATTGCTTGGTTCGTGTCCGAAACGACGTCTTTTCCTTTGAAAGATACGCCCAGCTTAGCACAGCTGAATTACATTACATCAGTTTTGGGTTTTCCCTTAGTGCTTGAGGCGTGTTGTAGACGTTGAGATGCTAACATCCAACGGTTTGCAGCGTCCGTGTGCCTGGTGCCTCAAGCCTTCACCAAATTACGTTTCTGCTTAGCATTTTGCTCACTATACAAGTTGAGAACAGCACTACGTGAGAGCTTTATCTTAGGAGTGACAAAGTGCATTTCGTCGTAATTGTTTGCAGGAAATTCCGCCTGTGCCTTGGTGCAGAGCTGTAATTACTACTGTGCTCAAAATGCTCTCATGTTTCCACTGCTTTATTCTGAGGCTGAGGCAGTTAAAAATAGACTTCAAGATTGTCTGATGGCACTTATTCTGGCAAGCGTGGCGGTACACTGGGCCTGATGCACTTCGGGGTACTTCCGCAGCATGTCACCCAAAATGCACACGACACCTGTGGGTATGGTCTCAAAAGGACCGTTTGTAAGACCTAATTTTTGCGTCTTATGATGATATAACTTTCATTTTCTGATAGTTTCATTTTCTGGTGGCTCTGCAGACGAGCTCCGGGAAGGTAGAACCGCCAGTTTTGTGGAAGCGCAGGAACTAGCGCCAATCAGTCTCAGGAGCACTCGTTCAGAGCCTTATGGATGCATATCTAGGTGTCAATCCTTGCATTAATGAGATAGCGGCAGGATATAGAGGCTCCGCTAGGCCCTCAGACGCCAGTACTAAAACGGAGTTCTCAAAGGACACGCAGCGCCTTATATCTTCTACTGCGGGGCAAATGGCGTTCAGCTTGAGCGCAACTGGTCAAGAGCATTGCGATCTCGGCAAGTCCCGCACCACAGGTACCATCAATCAATTTAGGGGTCACTGACTGCCAAGCGTCGTCTGTCATTATGGCTTCAGTAGGCTTGCCTTCCGGAGAGCGCTTGGGGGGCACGCTGGCACCTGGGAGCAGCTCGTTTAATTATCGAAACGCTAATATTGTACAAGACAAGCAATCACTTGAAGGCCACGCAGGGACGGCAAACGCACGTGGTGGCTACTTAGCAAAAACACCTAGAACACTACTTCTCGCTGGAAGTTTTCCAGGCACAAGTAGAATATGGTGATCATGAGAGGCGCTTCGGCGCGGTAATCAATCCCTTAGGTAAGTTGTCGGGAAAAACCGCTCGATACTCGTGCAACACCTGGGCAATCTCACATGGAATATGCTGCGCCTCTGTCGAATTTATCCATTCGTCGAACAGGGTGTGCTCGAGCTTTGCCATAGGCCAGGGAGACTCCTCGTCACTCTCCGCTGCCGGCGACGCGGTTGAGGGCAAAGGACTACCCCAGCCGGAAGACGTCGGTTGATTCCCAATTAACGCGCAGCAAAGCGCGCCTTGCCATTCATCCGAGAACCTTAGGGGCACCGCCGAAGCGGCTTCGGGCAAAGCCAGTATGAAATGCAAACCGTACAATGGAGCGCTGAGATTCTTTGTGTCAGCCGCCGCCTGACGAACGAGTGACGTTATCCGCGCCTTCGCCTGAGTCTTCGCGTGGGACTTATACCTCCTTGGAGGCGCGCATACGAAGATAGCTGCCTCCTCGGCTGACATATCCGCCACTTGTTTGGCCAATATCTCATATGCTTGCTCTGACGGGGCCCTTGGGTGGACTACGGTGGGACTGTCACCATGCGGCTTTGCTTCACCAGTCCGAACGACCGGTAACTCGCACCACTGGCCATTCACATAGGTTCGGAGTTTGTCGGACTGGAAATACCAGGCCACCTTGTGTTCCGTCAGCCCATGACTAAGTCATAGGGAACGGTTCCCACTAAAAAGCCCCCGGAAAAACGTACATGTCCGCACCACATCGTCAATCCCTTCACAACCCGATCAATGCGTAGTTGTTCGCTTGTAGCTACGGTGAACCTATGCTCTTCTGGAAGTCTCCGCACCCTCAGCTGCAGTCGTTCGACTGTTTTAGGACTAATGAAACTTGTCGAAGCCCCAATGTCCAAGAGGGCCTCACAAGGACTCCCTGCGAGCTCAACACGAAGTACCGCCGTCGCACCCACACAGCACAATGCCCCCCCTTTGTCGTAGGACTCTTTCGTGCAATTTTCCCTCCACCAGTGTAGCACAATCTCTGTCGCGTCTGACCTATAGCCGTCTTCTGTTGCCTCTGCAGGCATCCTGCTGCTATCCGTCGTCGCTTCCGGAGCCTTTTCACTCAGGACCCACGCCGACCCAGACTCCCACCGCGTCTCCGAAAGCGGCTGCGTCCCTTCCGCGTGCCCATCGCTCATACTAGTTCCTTCCGCAGTGCTGAGGAGTTGGTTTCCCCACTCAAGGGAGACTGGAATGGCATTAGGGCCTGTCGCTACCGCACACATCATTCTTTTTCCATGGCTACGCGGCCTAGAATGCTCGTCTCCATCCACGCCTAGGCCCCCTGTTTAATCGTTCCGTCTTCTCAGTGCTAGGACGGGTGGGCTCCCTACTGCTCTTGTCCCCCGGCTCGGGCCGGCCTCGTTCATACGTAGGACAGTCCCGAGCATAGTGTCCCACACCGCCACACTTCTTGCATATTTCCCCCGGACGTTTGGTACGTTCCCCTTTGCTAGGGCAGAGACGTGTCGGATGTCCGCGACCCTGACACTCAGAGCAGTTCGCGTGGGTTCCCCCAGGTCGATTTTCAATTTCCTGGCGCCTACGGGGTCCATTAGCTTGGATAGCAGCCCTAATGGCTCGACTGGTCCTTTGTCGGAGTTCCAGCACACTCTGCGTGGGCTCGTAGAGCCGTGCTGCAGCTGTCGCCGCTTGTTCCCACGACTGATATTTCACCTGTCCGTTATTGGTTATTGGGAGATGGAGGTCTGTCGGTAGCCTGGTGCAGTAATAGTCAGCGAGTTCGTCGGGGGCAACACCCAAACCACGCTCCGCTACAGCCGCAAACCGGTCCAGGTATTCATTCGGGTTACCATTCCACCGTACTCTAGCAAACTCCGTTAACAATTGACTCTGCGACATTGTTTTGTCAAACCGCTCCAAAAGCCTGCGCCGTACTGTCGCCCAGTCGCATAGGTCAATAGTTCTCCGTAGATACATCCAATATGTTAGAGCCGGGCCCACAAGGTGGTCAATAAGTGCATTTCCCCACTCGCGCGGCTCCAATCCCATCTGGGTGTACCGGCGCTCGACGCGCAGCAGAAAGGCCTGCATAGTGCTGCCGTCTTCTGGTAGTATGGGAATCGTTGCGCCCGATTCCACGGTACCCCCTATAGCAGTTCTTATCACACTCATAGCGGACTGGAATTGGTCCAACGTGACAAAGGGACTGTCCCCTGGCATAACATGGGTCATAGATATCATCTGCTGGGGCGCCTCCCTATGCCCATGCGGCCGCTCTGCCACGGTGGGCTTCGGAGTCGCATGGCGATGATGGGCCGGTGTCCCGCTCGGCATTTTGTTTGCTGATATTATTGAAGTCTCCTGCGGTGTGGGAACGATAACGCGTCCGTTGTGGAGACGCATCCTTTACAGAGCGAAGATTTCTAGGCGTGAGCTACTGAAACATAGTATTCCTACTCCCAAGTCCGGAAAGAACAAAGATTTCAATCCCGGAGCAGCCCCCAAATGTAGTGCACAGCGCCTACTGCTGCGGCTACGCTGCTACCTGCCCCTCGAGCAGGACCTATGATCGGCACCTAACGCTGGCCTGTTTCCTTGAAACAGTAGCTTATATATATCGAAATACAGTTATTCTTAGTTTTCCAAAATCTGTTGTCGTTCAATCCGCCCCACTCGGGGTGCTCGCCTCCTAGGCCCTGTGGGTAGGAGGCCTTCACTGGTGCCGGTGCTATCGCCAGCCCCAGTCTCCACGCATTTTCGGGCACCTCTGGCGTATGCACGTTAATTCGCAGACAAATTGCCTTACTTTGATCCTAGTAAGAGGGTCCTGTCCTCCTCCAGTGTTGCGACGCCTTGTAGGTCGCTAGCTAGCTATTTTCTATAGCTCACCAGCAAGCCCTATTGTAGTGCCTGTGCACTACAACTATCCTTTATAGGTTACCAGAAAGCCCTATTGTAGTCCCTGCACGCTACATGAGCCGAGCTTAGCTCACTACAGCTCAGTCTGCAAGGCCCAAGTTGGCTGTACTGTCGAGTGGAAGCCTTACTATCCTTCATCAAATAAGACACTAAAGTACGAACAAGGCACTGCCTATGAAAGCGGCTTATCAGGCAGCCGGCAAACAACCTCCAGCCCGTGAAAGCAGTTTGTTAAGCAGCAACTGAGACAGCATAGGGCAGCAAACTGCAGGATAGGCCGTCGTGTAGTGAGCGACTGTAGCAGTCGCGGTTTGCTCATGAGCTGCATGATATTCTGAAAAGGTAGCTAGCCTTTGACAGACCGGCTTCCTGGGAAGCGATGCCGGCTGCAACAGTTTTGAAGCCGCCTTCGATTCCATGAAATAGGGTATAAAAGGAGAAACATAATACTGTCGCTGGTGTTATCAGCCTCCCGCGCGATTGCTTTAACAATGTCTCTCTGCAAAATTAGAGTTGCAAATTGCAGATGAGTAGTTCAAGGTAAAGCTGGCACAGTTTCATTACCTTTGAAGTTAATGTTATCTTGGTAGCCCGACGAGACATCTAGAGAATTTTTGCTGTTCAGCACTAGCCGGAACGTACCACGATTGTGAAGCTTAAATGAAGGATCAAAACTAAAGCCAAAGAAACTAGGGTCACTGCTGTTGTAGTAGGTTTGCGCAAAACCAGCTGAGCGTAAGTCGCGATAATGGGAAAGCAGTACTTCTCCCCAACGCGCGTAAAGGAACTCTTGCGCGCTCCAATTCTAAAGTCTATGAAACTTTTCGCCCTTCCTTTAGTTGGCTTGATCCTTCTTAAAGCTACAATTTTCCCTGTGTGAGAATGAGACTCGGGAAATTTGTGTGACAAGGAGTAGTGTCTTTTAGGGCACAAGCCATTTGTACTAACGAGTCCACTGTGTCTCGCTAGAAGAAACATGTAGTGCAGTAGCCGAGAAAGTAAATGCTCTACACGAAGGCAAGTGCTCGTTGTGGCGTGGGGCTGCATCTACTGGGGCTGGTTAATCTGAACCTACAAAGCCCGTTATGAGCACTTCGCGAAATGACAGGCCTTCCTTTCATGCGCAATTCCCAGCACTGTTTAAGCAGATATGCTGAAGGCCAATATTATCGAAACTTGACATCAGAACGTTTGGTCAGCCTTTCCTCAGTGCGTACTAGAGAGCCTCCCAGTTTCATCTTTCCAAAGCTGCCGCAAAACTGTCGACTTCATTGTATCAAGTGTAAAATGAGTAGAGCTCAAGAAGACCCTCCAACGAAGATCACCCCATGTATTCGTAGCGACACTTTCAATTCGAGTGGGCCCCATTTAGAGCAACCCGCCGCAGAAGCCTGTCAATTCTTCAATGTAGCGACAACGTCTGCTAACGCTGAGTCTCCTAGCTGTGCTTACGAGGGGGCAGCCAACGAAACATGGCTGCCGCATTGTTCACATTTCTTTCAAGGTAACCCTCACTGGTGTCCACCACCATGTGAATGTGGAGACTGTGAGCAAGCTTCATCTGAGATGAAATGTGTTGCTCAGTCACTTGGCACTCAGGTGCAGGCACTAGTGTGTGGCAACGCAACTGCCGCCCCTACATCTGAGCTTGCACCCCATCGCCTTATCGCTACTGTGAGAGGGCATGCCATGATTACAAGTGCCATTGCTCGACAGTATGCCTGTGCCACAAGGGCTACCTTGAAGGAAGCTTGCCAAGCTCTAGCCATCTGCAGTGCCCAGTGCAGTCGCCTTCTTCGAGCTCGCGAGGTGTACAGATCTTCTTTGCAGCTCCTCAGTATGACACATGCATGCTCCTCGCATGCATGCTCTGCGCCCAAAGAAGTGCCACTTCTTCAGAATCATTGCGCTTGCTTCAAAAAAAACATAATTAGAGACCTTGCTGACTTGGAGGAGTTAAGGAGCAGGGCCGGATTCTTCCAAGACTCGCGTAATCTCCGTGAGTGGATGGAGCTTAATAAGCAGCACGCGGTCTATTCGCAAGAGTTCGGTGGAGAGATGGCTATCATTCAAGAGGAATTAAGAAACTTTCTAGCGGCAGAAAAGGCGGCTCTGCAGCTGTTTCATGTCAGCGCATCTGCTATATCCCTCTCATTCTTCAGTATTGTCGCATGGGAGTATTTTAGGACTAACAAAAATTGGAAAATTGTCTCTTCACTGTTTTGGTTGACGCTTGTGGCAATATACGTTTTTCCCTTACGTGACTCACTGGACGTACATCCTTTGATGCATGCAGGCTGCAAGGCTGCTGAACATCCAAGACATCCTGGAAGTTTTGCAGCACAGTTTTCCGGCAGCGGCGCATTCAGCAACAAGCATATTGAAACGAGTTGAACGAGTAATAGATACATTCGCGGAGTCGTTGAAGACAGAAAAATTTTGCCCTGAGGAAAGCAGCCAGCTGCAGCATCAAGAGCAATGCCATGGAGCAGGGACAACAGCAAGAGCCGTCTCCAGCGACTCTTCGTCCCTCTCAAAGGCACCTGAAAATCGCGTCTGCCTGGTGCGGCTAGAATATAATACTTCAACGAAAATAGTAAGAAATGAATATCGCGTGTACAAGCAAAACTTTTCCGGCAAATGTTCTTGCCAGCCGTTTCTGTATGTGCGCAGGTATCTTTGTTACGTGTATTTAAACTAGAAACGATGCTCTCTACCAAGCTACAAACGGAAGTGCAGCGCCTTTTACATCTCATACGCCTTGGAATTAATTTTGCTTGTGCATATCATCAACTTGACAAGTTTGCTTTAACGGTGCTTGGCCCAGCATCACAAGACAGCTTCGCGAAGGGCTCACAAAATGGGAATCAGGTTTCATGGCAGAAGCACCTTTCTGAGAAGCCCATCAGTAATTGCCCCAGATTGATTAGTACTGCCGTGACTTCAGGAACATTCAGGCTGGACCATTTTTTAAAACTGTCTACAGGTCGTCAGCGAATGGTTGAACGCCGCCTCATTAAAGATGGCGTTGCAGTTTTTAGGGGAGCGCTCCTTCGAGCTCAGTATAGTCCAGCGCACAGGCTGCTGTACTGGAAGCACTCTGCTTTTCCGCCCTCACAAAGCTCAGTACACGCCTATACAAGCTGTGAAGCGTGGTCTTGCGTTGGGAAAAGCTCCACAAGAGAAATAAACCAGATGCGGACAGTCATTCACCAGAGCTCCGGTATTCTGCAGTCTCCAACACCGTATGGGAAGAAACAGCCACAAAATTTAGAGCCGCTTGACCCACAAGTGAGTTATTGTTTTAACGCAATCTAGGAAAGTCAAACAGCCCTTCCCTTAGAGG